ATAGCTTCATATTAAAATTCGTAAAACTCGTGATTCTGATATACCATTAGGCGGCCTGTATCTGCAAATCGTTCCTGGACCAGGGAAGCCATGTGTGGATCCTAAAACATATGCACAGTACAAAAGCAAGGAGTCAAAATCCAAGAAAAGTAGCTGTAGTTTCAATTGTTAGTTATGAGTCAAAACTCAAAGAACCATTCTTGTGCCAAATTAAGATAATAGCAAAGTCCATAAATATTACACAAATGCATAGTACTACATCCCTATCAATACAAAAGAAGGCATAAATTTATGAAGGAAAAGGCTAGTTTTCAAATGAACTGCAATCAACTACGAAGAAAAATAAAAATCATCTTTTATGACCAATGTTGATATATTACACAGAATTGCATATGAAACAAAATGCTGAATCCAATTTGATAACCTTTTCAATGGCCAGAACAGTAGCACCAGCATCAATAAGAACATTGGTCAAGGACCCGGTACCGGGACCGATCTCAAGCACCAAATCCCCATCTTTTACATTAGCAACAGCAGCAAGCTGATCATTGATGGTAGAATTCAACATATAATGCTGAAAAAGTAACACATACAAAGAATGATCACTTGATCAGCAAGTGTTCGACGAAATGCCTCAATGAAGTTTCATGAACTACAACCCCACCATTTCAAATATAACTTGTTACCCATAAAACCCAGTTCTTCCAATGTAAAAAGGGTTAAAGAAAGAAGCTAAATTACCTGACCAAGAGATTTTCTGGGAAAGCGTTTTCTGGAATTGAGAGCTTTGAGGGTAGCATTGTAATCATCTGGGTTTGCAGCACAGACTATGAATAAGGATTTTCTTCGGTTAGGCAATCTAGTTAAGGTAGTTGAATACCAGGAATTATGGTGGATTTTGGAGGTTGAGGTGACTGGTATTGGATTTGGCGGGAAGGATTGTAGTGACGACAACATTGTTCTTTGTTTGGCGAAGAACTAATAATCAGAAAGACAACTACAGACGAGTGAGACGACATAGCGGATTGGAGTAAGTTAGCTGATTAGACCAGCCAATCCTCTAATTTTGGTGTTTGGTAAGGAGCGGTTTCAAAATAGCGTTTCGGAGACAAATCCGCTAATTTTAAAACGCTACTAAATCCACCACTGGCCACCCATACCGGGTAGTGGGTTATATTTCCTCGAGTTTTAACTATGAGGCTAAATTCGTTAGTCATACGGAGTACGAGTGTAACAAAACATACTTCCTCATTTAAATATTATTCACGTATTTTGTTTAGGCGTTTTTGTCAATAAATAATTTCAAACAATAAGATCATCAAACTATTATTTACAACCAAGAATATAAAAACTTAATAAATTAAAATTTGATGTTGAGACGAATTAAACAAGACCTTAACTCGATTATGTTTTTTTATATAAGAATAAATCACAAAATGAAGTAAAACTTAATCCCTCCATATTTTAGAAAGTTATACACTTATCACATGCAACCATTTTTGTAGATGTCACACTTTCATTTTTCGCAAAAAGAAAACTACATTTTAATATTATTTCTCACTCCGCTTAGGATCCCCACTCAAATCTAATACCATCTTTTGTTATTATTTCTTCTCTGCTCGTATTTCTAACTTTTCAATAAAATATCAATTTTCCACTATCTCATGCTATTCAATGTAATTTTTAACACTTCAATTAAGCCACTTACATATTAAGGTCAATTAAATTGCCTACAACTACGTGCTGGCAAAGTGTATCACTTAAAAGAACGGATGGAGTAATAAATAAATGCGAAAGAAAAAACATGTCCACGGAGTAAATAAAATGGATGACGCATATAAAATACACGGTGAATAATGTGACTAATTAATATTGAGTCAAGAAATCAATTATTAAAATATTTGAGAATTTTTGTATGCATATGATGATTACTGTACATCGAGGCAACTTTTGTTGAATTTTGGATAACTTTTACACTTTTTTGGGTAACTTTTGTCAATAAAGCATTAATAACTTTTTGGGTTTTTCTAAGTTATACCCCTAAGGTATTCGAGTTTCTAAGGTGTACCCATGCTTTTTAAAGTTTTTAAGTTGTGCCCTTCAATTCACTACCATTAATGAATGGTACCCTCCTTGGGACTTCTAGGTCACCTAAAGTTAACTATAAATTTAATAGAAATATGATAAAAGGTAAGGAAATGGTAGGAGAAAGAAATCTTAGTCACCGCAACCCTAATAATGAAAACTGAAGCCACGAAATCACACTCTCAAATAACTTTTAAACAACTAATAAGGGTACATTTTAGTATTGATAAGGAGTTGAAGGGCACAGCTTAGAAACTTGAAAAAGTATGGGTACACCTTAGAAACTCGAATACCTCAGGGGTATAGCTTAGAAAAACCCTAACTTTTTTATATCAAAGTAACTTATCTGTCACTTTTATTCATTACAACTTTTGATCATTTTAAGGTAACTTTGTAACAAATGTACAATATTTTATTGTATATCCAAATTTTTAAAATGTCTATGTTAATGACTAAGGGCCTGTTCACATTTACTAATCTGAGCTGAGCTGAACTAATTGAAGCTGAACTAAACTGAACTGAATTGAACTGAGCTGAAATGAATATTTTATGAGTGAGGGAAATTAGGAGTTGAACTGAATTGAATTGAATTGATTGAAGCTGAACTGAATTGAACTGAACTGATTGGAGTTGAACTGAACTGAACTAAACTGAAAATAAGTAAATGTGAACAGGCCCTAAATAACCTATTTGTAATTTTCATTTCCAAATTTTATTTTTGTATAAAAATAAAATATTGTAATTATTTTCAATAAACATATCCTTTAATATCCCATTACAGATGATTAATTGCAAAATTTTCAAATAATCCAAAAAAATGGTGATATCCAATTCGATTTTTTTAATTTTTAATTTTTTTTTTTTTTGAATTAATATCCAATTTTTTTTATTTTTTTTTATTTCTTGAAGCAATATCTCATCTGATTTTTAATGATAAGATATTTCAAAAGGCATATTTGTTTTTTCCAATTAGAAATTTGAAAATTCTTATAAAAGATACTTTGTACTTTATATCCAAAAAGATTGATTAGTTGTCAAAATTTTCAAACATCCAAATAAAGCCAATATCCAATTCAATAATTTCTTTTATATCCAATCCTTTTTTTTTTTTATCCAATCCTATTTTTTAACAAAAACTTTTGTATACACCCGGTTTACACTAATATTACTGTACATCGAGCAGTATAAGGGTAACTTTTATCTAATTTTAGGGTAACTTTTTGCCTTTTTTTTGGTAACTTTAAACATAATACAATTTATATATATATAGACAATAAAAAAATGTGATTCTTTATAATAATTTTTATTTGTATTGGATTTTTTTTATGCATATTAGGGTAACTTTTATTTATTCCAGGGGTAACTTTTGATCAAATTAGTCTATCTTTATAGTGGATGTACAATAATTATTGTACACCCGATTTTTTTTAAAGTTTGTGATTTTTTAAAGTTAAGATATTTTGGATAGCATATTTGTTTTTCCAATTAGAAATTTACAATTTCCATTTAAAAAGATACTTTGTATCTTATAGGTGATTAAATTAGTTGTCAAAGTTTTCAAATACATACCCATCAAAAAAAAAAAAATCAAACAGATAAAAAAAAGCCTATATCCAATCCAATGTTTTTTTTTTTTTTAAGCAATATCCAATCCATTTTTTTAATATTAAGATATCCTAACTAGCATATTCTTGTAAAAAAAAAAAAAAAAAAAAAAAAAAACACTGGCATATTTGTTTGTGAGGGAGTAATCATTTTTATTTATCTGCTCTCACAACTTTATGCATTGATTTCTATGTTACTTTATCATTTCACTTTTATTATTTACAAATTTATCTCAAAAATCAACTTGACTTTGCCCATTGTTTTTCCAATTAGAAATTCCTTGTTCGTAGGGAAGGGAATAGATGAGCACACGAGCTTTGCTCATTGTTTGCCTACCTAGTATGCCGAATAAGAGGATTTGGATTGATAGTTTTCCTTCTTGTATTTCTTCAGCCTTTGTGCCATGATCCTTGAAGTATTGTGGATTGAATATCTGATTGGGCCATTCCTAGGCTCAACTGAATGCTTGATCAAAAAGTCCAAAAAAAAAAAAAAGACTTGCCATTCTTGTCATTCCACTTACCACAGCTCTAAGAGTGTTACTAAGATTGCCGGAAAGGAAAATTTCCTAACATCAGGCATTCAGGACTTTCAGGTGAGGCAAACATACTTCAACACCAATGTATATTATACAATGGTTCACACATTACACGATATACTCCATATCTCAAATATATAAGCTTGTTCAAGGGAGTACTCCGAATAATTTTGTTCAATGCATAATATAGGCTAGTTTGTTCAAAATTTTAAAGCGTATATTTAACTACTCGCATTTTGTTCAATTTGGCCAAGATACTTCAAATGTACTTGCAATAGATGAAAAAAAAGGGCTCTATCATTTCAAACAATAGAGCTGCACAATTACTCTAGGTTTAAGAATAAAATAGTCATCCATAACATGTTAAGATGAAGTTATAGCAATCTGAAACGAATAGATCATATTAATATACCACAAGATATTCACAGAGGCCAACTGAGAGTATAGATGAAGAGATTCCGAAAATTCTTGATACAAGGCTGCATACAGACATGGACTACTACTTCATACACTCATTATACTCATTGTACCATAGAGCAACAGAACTTTAGTAGCTTGAAATAATTAACCAGGTCAGTGTTACTACTACTCCAGTAACAGCATAGAATTTTAACCAAAGACTGATCAGTAAGCCATAGATCAGCATGAGCAGAAAGCACAACTCGTAATTCATAGGGAGCGGGTAGCAGTGAATTTTTAGGGGCAACCAGGAGATGAATACAATTATACAAGTACACAGCCAATAATGTAAAAATGTTAAACATCAAGGAACTTAAACCAACACAATCAAGGATTAAAGACTCGGGGGATATCATCAAACACATAACGAAATCAAACTTGTCGTTCCACACAAACATCAATCTGTTTTAGGATAAATGCCTACTGGCAGAGTATATAATCATGCTAAACATAACAAGTCTTGTAGCCTCAACTTCATACTACTAATAAGAACAATTCAAAAAAACAAAGTCTTCAACCTAAATGAGGCGCCAAAAAACTGAGAATGGGTACTTCACCGAAGTCTCCTTGCTTCTCTCTCAGACTCGAGGAGGGTGAGAATGTCGCCCTCTCTGACAGGTCCCTTGACGTTCCTCATGATGAAACGGTTTTGGTCATCGATGAACTTAACTCTGACCTGAGTGACCTGCCCCCTTGATCCTGTGCGGCCCATGCACTTGATAACAACAGCATGCTTGATCTGAGACTCCATTCTGCAATCAAGTTAAATGGTACAATCAGTTACTAATTTAAATGTATTTATATTGACTAGTTAAATACAGAGATTGAAGCAATTCAAATCCATCCTCTCATATACGATACCACATGACCGGACATGATATGACATGACACGATACACCAAGTATATTACCCAAAAACAATAGCACAGTTTGAAGAAACAAAACAGAAACCATCACATTATAACAAATTCATTTATAGAGTTAAGGGTTGTATAATAATCTATTATTTGAAATAGTGCAAAGCTCAATATTATTCACTAATAATTACGAATAAGTTTTTAGATTTATTGGCTAATATTGTTTATTCTATTAACATATAGAAGAAATTCAATAAACTGAAACAAAAAATTGCATCTGAAACTCTATAATTAACCTAGTACAAATTGAAAAATAACAATTACCAGTACAATTGAATTCAAGGCATTACAAATAATCCGTAATAATCACAATAACATCTAAAATTAGTAATCAAACTTTTATACAATTTAAAAAAAAAACACATTCACTGATAGTTAGATTTCGGAGTAGGGTGCACATAAAATTGGGGGAAACTGGTTACTAAGATCAAAGGATAACTTAAAGGAAGAAACTTTTCATACAAAAAGAAAATCAGAAAAAGGGAAGAATGAAATTTTAAACTAAACAAAACAAAACCCATGAGCAATTTCAATGATAATTAACAAAAAATTGTAAAGAGAATAAATTACCTGAATGAGTGAGCAGATGAAGATTAAGGAGTTGAATCAACAAGAATGGAGAGAGGCGAGAGAATTGTATGAAAACGAGTATGTATAGTTAGGGTTTATAATTGATAGCCGCCTAAGAGTGGAAGACAGCAAGACAACATTGGGTTGGGCCACTTTTTCATAATAAAAGGCCAATGATCATTTCAACTAATTGGGTTAGACATGGGTTAACCCGACCTGAAACCAACCCGAAACCGACCTAATTAGTTAAATGGTTATTTTTGGTTTAGATTTCCAACCTAAACGTAACATGTTTAATTTTTGATCGGGTTCGATTGACCTTATTATAAAAAGATTGCCAATCTCAATCAACTTGTTTACTTCGTATTTGAGTTGGGTCAATCCTTTGCTAGACTATGTTACTCGGATGCAGGTATCCATGTCTAGCACGATTGCACGATTACGTGTTCAAATATCCGACACAAGTACTTGATGTGAAAGGAAGAGTTTGAATAACATTATGAAATATGAAATATGAAATACAAAATACAATACAATGACCGACAAAATAGTATAATACGAAGCACCAAATACGAAATACAAGTAGCTTCTTTTTCAGTGGGTGGGGGGGGTAGACCAGGGCAAGAGATAATATGGAGCACTAGTGTGTTAGACTAATACTCTAACAGTACCTATCTAACACAATGATACATGAAAGATGGTATAAATTTTTTTGCTAATACATACATTCAAAAGAAACATGTACAGGAAATTTACAACTCAGTAGAAAGCCGTAAATAATCTTCGATTATAGAGAGTGAAGATGAGCGGTAACTTGAGCCAAAGAGATTATAGTGATTAAGGTAGTGATACAACATATAAAGGTCTCTTCTTTTCTCAAATCCTGGTTGTTTGGGCATCACCTGAGGGAAGTTATGCAGGAAAAAAACATATGAATGTGCCATATAAGAATAAAAGACAAAGCAAAATTGAAGTAACAGGCCATTTAGCAACTTCATCGAAATGAAAAACAGAAGTAATTATGGTTCAAAGATGCAACCATATTAAGGAAGCTAAATGTGATAGGACAGCACGAGATTCACAAGTTATGCAGTATACCTAAGATCACATCATATTAAAGACCACTTTAGCTTGCATGTAACCCAGTGTAAAGATAGCCAAGGAGATGTCAGCATAATTGGTCAAAAACCAACTCAATCTTCCCATTAAAATAGTTTCTGAAAGATTTCAAAGCTACCACACTCACTTTTCCTGGGATTTAGTGATTTCTGCTACAAATAATATCCCTTTGCCTCAAGATGACAGTCATTAGTCACATTTATATATCTTGGCATGAATTGTAGGAGTTACCATGTTGCTTAAATCAGCAATATATATTATGATTGGTTGTCTGAACAAACCCCCCATTATTGAAATTGAGTGCTGAAGAGAGGATGGGCAGGACATAAAAATTACGCGGGTCTTTTGAGGAGTTTATAGCAAAACTTGTTTATTGAGGGTAGGAACATGTGGTCATGTGGGGGTCAAAGCACCTTATACAGAAGTATGTTACAAGAAGACAGAATCGAAAGAACATTTATTGTACATGTCATACCTCAAAATAGGAATTGTAAAATGATGAACCAAAGCCAGCGCACCATGACCTTCCAAATTCTGCTTCATTATGTCCATCTGCAGATAAAAGGGGGGGAAAAAAGCAAGTGAGATAAATTTGTTAAGTATCCATACGGTTTCATGCTAACTACATACAGTAACTTCATACATCAGTGAGCATATGCGAAAATTGTATTTTCTGTACGGTACCATTATTATGTCAATAATCAAGAAATTAGGAAAAGTGTGATGGTATCATTATTACAAATAGGAACTTCAGACATCAAGTACCAGTGTCGGATCTTTAACACTCTGACAAGGGCATGGACACTTTGACACTTCATTTTAGCCCAAAATGAAAGGAATTTTTCACAAAGAAGACAAGTCAAACACTTAAACATGAGTACCCCAACTTTGAGTAACATGATGCTACTGCATCCAAGCAAAGCAGAATCAACTAGGACTCACAATAGCATGCTGGATCAAGAATAACAGGCTCGCCATTCTTGTCATAGGTTACATTCCCACTCCACAGGTCACCATGCAGCAAACATGGCTCAATCACAACATCTTCAAAGAGCGGTGCCAGGTTCTTTGCCAGCTTTTGTCCTGACAGAAGGAAAATTCCCAACATCAGGTGAAGCAAAATATATTCCAACACTAACAACATTGATTACAATAAGGCGGCCATCAAAAATAGTAGTTTATCAAATTATCAAGTATAAATAACTTCCTAAAGGGGAGGGATATACAAACTGAAGCAATGGCAGCAGTTATGTGACTTCTATCAAATGATCAAAGTTATATGTAAGGATATCAACACCAATGTACTAAGTCTATCAACTACTTAATCATACAGCAGTGCAGCAAAAACCATGAGCAAATACCTTTTTCATAGATTAAAGAATCTCCAAACTGATCTCGAGCCAATTTAAGTTGGTAGCCCAGTCTATGCTTTGCATAAAACTCTATCCAGTCTGATGTCCAGGTATTAATCTGTGGAGTACTGCACAGAAATTGAATAAAAAAGTGAGCCAACTTATAGAGGACAGGACCGATGCAGTGGTCAAGACAACCATTACTGCCACAGCAAAAGATTATAGCATGTAGACCATTTCATAAATGTGATAGGAAATGAAGACAAACAAATGAGCTACTCCCCGGTCAATCTGAAATCTATTGCACCAATTACCTTCAAAACTATCAGTTAACTATAAGACAAACAGATATATGTAAGCCGTAGGCACTTGCACCCATCAGTTAATAATTTAGACAGAGAAAATTAAACTTCCAAGAAATATCTAGAAGAATAAGGCTTGATGCCAACGTAATTGATGACGGCAGCTCTTAAAGGAACGTACCTCCCAATAGTATTTTCAACTTCAAAGCCAAAGCCTTTCTCAGATTTCCCAGCTTTATGCATTTCTGCAAGCTTTCTACCTAAAGCAGGCTAAAGATTGAACTATTTAGGATACTTGTTGAACAACACAGAAATCATATATAGCTTATTTTTAAGCTAAGCTGTCCTCACCTGGCCACTTCTAGCTGCCCCAAATTCTACGAATTCCATAATGATGTAAGAGCCACCTCGTGGTAGAGATCCAACCTGCAGTCCTTAAAAAGTGATACACTCAGATATTCTAGCTGCCTAGAGAGCTCAGCACAACCATGTATTAGGTAAATTACCAAACCAAACTTCAGCATCTTTCTACTTTGTATGGCTTAGGGACACGAATTGTATTGGTTTCGTACATAAGTCTCAAACCAAGAGCCTCCCCTTCAAACATGGATGGGCCAATACTCCTATTCCAACATTCCAAATAAGTAGAGCAAGTTCAGTATCTAGAAATTGCGATAACTTCCATACACGATAACATCTCAAATTTGTCCACATTTACAATTGTTGCAATAAGTACTATTTAACTCCAATTCCAACATCCCAAATAAGTAGAGCAGGTTCAATACCTAGAAATTACAATAACTTTCATACATGATAACATCTGACATTTGTCCACACTTTCAATAGTAGCAATAAGTAGGTACTATTAAACATAGAACAAGTAACACATTCAAGCCACTCAGCATCCAAGCATAGCATACCTATTAGTTTTAACAAAGAAAGGACCAACATCGGTATCGTAACGAGTGGCAAGATTGATGCAACCACCACCAACAGAACTTGATTTAGTAATCTGTGTTGCCTTCCCTTCAGTGAGAATCCACTCAAGAACTGGGTCTTCACTCATTGCCACAACTGCCAACATTTCACAATTGACAACCCAAAACTCTAATCACCAACTCAATTAAACTAACCTAGAACAAAGAGCATTGGGCCTAATGCAAACCCAAAATTGAGCAAAATCAAAGCAAATATAATCACAATTTCAATATTTTCAGCAAAAATTAGCCCCAATAAAACCCCATTAACCAAATAGAAAACCCTGATAAACTATAACTAAAATAAAGCACAACTCTTGAATAAATTAACAGTGGCAAAATTAATGGAAAAGGAACACAAAGATCAACAAAAAGACAGAAGATAATCAAAATAATGAAATGGGTAGAGTTTAATTAGTTCAAAATTCAAGTTAACTTACTTGTAAATGGTTTTGGTTTGGAGAACAAGAACTTGGAGAAAGTGGGAAGACTGAAAGAAGGACGGCATTTACATGAAGAGAGAGAAAGAGAGGTAGGAGGTGCTATTACCATCATTTCCCCCTTTTGCTATCTCGCACTTTCTTCTGGGATGTGGATGATGCAACCCGTCTTCGTGTTCTGTTTTTGGTGGCGCCAAACTAGCCGTAAGCCATGTTACATGGACTCGAGTGTTCATGTCCGACACGGGTATGTGTTTAAGTGTCGTCCGAATATCGAAGGTCCAACATAGGTATTTGAGGTGAAATGAAAAATTTATTTTGGTCATAAGGTCCCTATGAAGGACTAGAAAGGATTCAAATCTAGCCAAATTTATTATTATTTTTTATTCCAAAACTATCTCAGTATTGAAGTAGATAAGGACCTAGGCCTTACCATCTTAGGGTCCGTGGTCGGAAACATAACCAAAAGGATTAGAACATATGGCTACTAGTAAAGGAGGTTCGAACATCTACTTGTTAGAATATGAGCTACCGTATTTCTAACTATATTCTAGTCTTTTAAGACGAAATTTTATCAAAACTTCAGAAGCATTGACAATTTGCTTGTATTTTCTTTATTATTATTACTAGTTTTGTACCCGTGTGATGCTCGGGTTGTTTATTGAATTAAGATAAATTTTAAATCTACATGTCAAATTTTATAATGTATCATTGATACAAAATTAGTTAGAAATTGATGTGTTTTTGTGACGATATAAATTATGTACGTAGTTGTTTGTAAGGACTTATAATAATATTGGTGAAAATGTAATTATTTTTTGAATAATATTATAATTTAATTTGTACATATGAAATTTTAGTACTTTATCAAAAATAAAACTCTAAATTAACAATTTTATCCTAAAATCCTATTCAAATTGGATTGAAAATAGAATTCTAAACTAACTTTTCTATCCTAAAAATTGAATTCTATATAACTCTATCCTACGTGGCGCGACACTTGGTGTAAAGTTGGAACGCCAAGTGTCACTGTCTCGTTGCCTGACTAAAAGTTTAGCTTTATATATTAGTTATATGATTGTTTCTTAAATATTTTCACGTCTAATTGATGATCAAAGACATGCATGTTTGTAGCTCAAATGGTAAATTTACTTATTGCTCTATGTACGATTGCAACTAACCCAGCAATAAATATACACGAAACTTAGTACAATTCACATACACCATACACACTATGCAATAGAATAGGAGTTTAATTCAAATTTGCAAATTGATTATACTTTGAGGATTAATTATCATGTAATCATATACAATAAAGTAGTTGTATATATATACAAAACCTACTAAGTATTGAACATTTGAACTACCCTTTAATCATTTTCATGGCTCGTGAAACTACTTAATTTGTTAAGGTGGCTCGTGAAACTACTTAATTTGCCTACTATTCAAGCCCCAAAATTATTGCATTGTGATTAAAAAGGTAATTTACGTCTTAATTTAGAACTCCCCTTCATTCAAGTAACCTACTATTTACATTCTACTATAATTAAGACATAACATTTTAACCAACTAATAATCACAATGAATCAATGATCCTTAACATTATAAATAGCAAACCAATTTAATTACACTCTACTCATATTAAAATCATGGTTATTACATCTTTCAAAGTCCTTTTCTTTCTCCTACTTTTCTCTTATTATATCCTGTTTCCTACTAATGTTGCTAGTGTTAATATTCCTGATTCAGAGAGGCTGGCCTTTGATACCATCTTCCAGTTCGGAGACTCGTTGAGTGATACCGGGAACCTTGTTCTCGAAAATCCTTATGGTGCTCACTCCTTTGCTAGCTTTCCTTACGGTCAAACCATCCATCACCCTACAGGTCGTTGCTCTGATGGACTACTTATCATTGATTATATTGCCAATGTTTTTCACCTACCCTTGCTTAGTCCTTTTCTTGATAGACAGGGTAATTTTGATCATGGTGTTAACTTTGCTGTTGCTGGCTCAACTGCTCTAGATACCGCGACTTTAAGAGCTAAGAACATAGTTTTTTCACCTCCTACTAACAGTTCATTGTCTGTTCAGCTAAGTTGGTTCAAATATCATCTTAACTCTATGTGTACTAATCGCTTAGAATGTGAGAAGAAGGTTAGTAAATCGTTGTTTGTTATAGAGACGGGAGGTAACGATTACAATTATGCTTTTCTTCATGGGAAGACTATGAAAGAGGTGAAAGAACTGGTGCCTGAAGTTGTTGGAGCTATTAAAGAAGCTGTCAATGAGGTTATTAGGTGTGGTGCAATTAGAGTAGTTGTTGCTGGAAATTTGCCTATTGGTTGTTTACCTGTCTATTTGACAGCATTCGAATCAAGAGACCGAACTCAGTATGATGAATTGAAGTGTTTAAAGGAGATGAACGCGTTTGCCATGTATCATAATGATCTATTACAACAAGCCATTAGGGAGCTTCAAATGGAGCATCCTGATAATGTTGCTATTGTTTATGGTGACTACTATTCGGCTTTGAGGTGGATTCTTCAGAACGCTGCTGCTCTCGGGTTTGATGAAGATAATGTACTTAAGGCGTGTTGTGGATCAAGCAATAATGCATATAACTTTGATTTGAAGAGGATGTGTGGAGCTAAGGAGGCGCAAGTTTGTGCTAACCCAACTCGACTCGTGAGTTGGGATGGAATCCATTTGACTCAAAGGGCTTACTTGCGCATGGCTCAAAGGCTATTGCAGCAAATTGTTCCAAAAATCCTAGAAGTTGTATAAGGAATTATAAAAACATACATAATGTCTTTTTATGTTTTGAATTTGCATTTAGTTATATTTTTTTGAGTTTTGAGTCCATAGAAAATAAAATACTGTTAAGCATTCGAATATTGTGAACTTTTCAGTTACAGTCAAATATGACCTACTGATTCTATAGCACCATGATTCTTGGATGAGTCCTTATTGATGATGTATATTAACTGTTAGTTAGTGCATCAATGTTCAATAACAACAACAACAACAAAGCCATATCTGGTTAGCCCCGTATTTGGGGTCAGCTAACATTAATCGACTCAAGGAAACTCTGCAAAAGCGCAACAAGAAGTGTAAGTCAAAAAACTTAAAATCAGATCTGAAGAATAACGAATAAGAGAGATAGCAACTGGTAAAAGTTGTTGATTATATAGAGTAATAGAGGTAAGTTGCAAATTCTTAGACATAAACTAGTAGATAGCAACTGCAATCAGGAAATCATTCATAGTTAGATTGTTGCTTCATAGTTCAGACTAGGTAGCGCGACAGTTCAGCCAGGACCATCAACAATCTTGTTCACATCTCATTATCAGATACATAATATAAACTCTCATTATCAACCAAAATTGTATAATTCTATATTAAGATATAACAAGTTTTGCCCAACGTAACTTCTGGTTGTTAGTTGTCAGTGACATCACTGTCAAGGATTTACAACTCTGCATGTTTTTTTTTCTAGGCTTCAGAGATGGATTACCATTTACCATATAAAACAGAAGTTCCAATGGGAAAAAAAGGCATAAAATCTGGCTAGTGAAGTCTTGAGTTTTTCTGAATGTTTTCTTCGGGAAGATTGCTTTGTTTCTCATGAAGTAATGATAACCGAGTATGGTTAAGTCTTCATGCAGAATATTAAGAGCATAGTACCTCACTGAAACTGTATTCTGTTTTTCGGTTTCTAGTAATTCCTTAGCATAGTAAGCATACTCAATAAAGGTAACGTTTAATTGAAATTTTAAGAGGGTGACATTAAAGGCTTCCGTGCTAAAGAAACCCGCCTATATATTATATGCAGCATCCTTTTTGTTCATCTGCTTACAGTAGATGAAAGCTAAACAACCTCACTTATACCCTGCTAAAGATAATTATTCTCATGAAATCTGATCGATAGAGCTAACATGACATCCAGATATTTTTTATACGGAGTATAACATGTCGAGAAAGTTTCTTCTAGGATAAAGGCAATCTAAAATTGTGGCAAGTTTGTGTAATCAAATTACATCAGCTATCTGCTGTTTCTCCTGATTTTGCCTCTCAACAGTTTCAAATTGGTATTACTCTTTAGTTGTAATGGTCCCACTTAGCTGAAGCAACTAATACAAGACTACCAATTGTAATTAGGAACTTAATTATCAAATCATAAATACAATTAGAGGTTCAGAAATTCTTAAGTTCAGAATTTCAAATAGGTATTGTATACAAATGTCTCGCACTCACGCCAATCAACTGCAAAGTTTACATGAATTGTCTAATCAGCAAACACTTCAGTTTGAAGTTATAAGCAAAATTGTTTCAAACCATGTGGAAAAAAAAACACACACACAAAATTCCAACAGACCAATGCTATCAATCTATGAGTACAAAGAATTTTTTACACGAATTACTTCTAATATATCCACACATGACACATTCTAAGCTTCATTAACACACCCCACCCCCTAAAGGCCCGTCTCTCACATCTCAAAGAAAGAGTTATGCATAAGGTAGCTAGCATTCTGAATAACAATCATGTTAAACCAGAAATAGGAGTAATTACTTCTATCCATTACCTAGGCTCTGATTCTCCATGTAAATTGGATTCAGGGTTTCTTGATGTTGACTGGTGATGCTGTTGGCTGCTGACATAACCTGCTGTATACCATGAACCAGGTTGCAAAGACTGATTGAAGTCCTCCATTGCTAATTGAGCATTGTCATTGGACCTCACCGGCTTTGGATCACAAGACTGCTTTAAAGGCAGACGGCAAACACAGGACAAGTACATTGCTTCATTAGCCAGGGATCAATGCAGGAAAGATGAAAACTGTGGCCACATTTGGGCATGATTCTTAGTACTTCTTTTTCTTGATAGTCCCCCAAACAAATAGAACACCTGGTCATAAAAGAAGGCAGTAATAAGCAGAAATTTCTTAGCTATTCACAACTGAAAGATAACATTTTGCTTCCTAAAATGAATTTATTTTTGGCAATGGTACTCGATACTCACTGTAGATCTTCGGTGGAGTTAAAAGCATCCCGGTGATATTTCATCGTGGGTATTGCAGCAACTGCAAACGGTTCAAGGCCATCAGTCCTTTGCTCTGGCTATCACAAGAAAAGGACACAGCAGATGTGTTACAATTGGCATAAGTGTTAGGTTCCAAACTAGTGGAAGCCGCCAAGCAGGTACCAGTTGCAAAAACTACAACAGTATTGGCATGTTCGGCAAAATTAGGTGTCACTACTTGATCGTTTTACTAGCTAATAGAGTTAACTGTCAAAATGTTACATAGTAGGTGTAGGATTGATAAAAAGATCTCATTTTTTTCTCTCCTTTTGAAAGCTACACACCTACACTTTTCACCGTTTGCAAAACACTACCTCAACTGGAAAAGGCAACCTTAAAACACTACCTCAACCGGAAAAAGCAACCTTAAAACACTACTTCATCAAACAATGTATTCCACGTTTACTAGAGTTACGACCAAGTCAAAACTCTAAAAGCTACTCGAAAAGTTGTTGCCAAACACAACCTAAACATAGATTATTCTAACAAACCCAATGTATTCATTCAACAGATTGACAAAGATGATTCTCAGTTAAAATCCAAAATTACAGTCAACAAGCTTCATTGTTAATAATAAACACTTGACCAAACCTGCTACTGTATCAATCAAAGCATAACATAATTCACTCAAAAGTCAAAACCCAATATACAATGCTCCAAAACTTAAACTGCATAAGAATCAAGAGGAGAAGATAGATTTATACCTGCTCGATATCGATTTCGGGTTCATTATCAACATTCCTCCTTGGTTCAGTCAATTGAACCCTCCTACATATGAGTCTTGTGCATATAAACACTATAAAAATTGAGCTCATCCCAAATCCAATGATAGTAGTGATCAAATTAATGTCATACATCATTTCTTCAATGCTCAAACCCTTAATCTTTAATTTCTTATATCAAATGCCCAGAAACTGCTGAATGACTGTTAATCAGATGATCAATTGCATACAGCACAAACCCAAATAACAAATCCAGATCAATCAAAAATAGGAATTTTTTCCACAAATAACATAACCTAATCATAATTGTTTAGCTAATTAAGCTACCCACCAAATCAAAGTTTCAAACTTTGTGACAAACCCAACTCCATAAAACCCAATAAAACCATATTAAAGGTATTTAAAGAACCTGGGATTTTTTCCTAATCAGAACAACAATTATACAAAAAAAGAAACAATTGCAAGAACCCAGAAAAGGTAGGATCAAAAAAAGCAAAAAAGGAAGCTACCCATTTGGAATCCTAAATGTTTTTGATTGAATTGAGCAGAAATTCCACATGGGGTTTAATCAATTAGGTAGAACTTATGGAGTCTGTGAAAAAGACAGGGAGAAAATAATGGCTGCGTTACAATAAGGAGTGAAATAGGTCGTTGTTATCGTTGCTTATCCATTATATTCAGAATCATAGCTTTTATTTTTTTTTATTTTTTTTTTGTTGGAGCTACACACCTGTAAAATTAGGGACCCGCAAGAGTTTTGTTGGTTCTTGAACGTCTATATCTTTAAAATTGATTTTGATACGGAATGCTCCTTAGTTTGATTTATTATGCGCTCCTCCTTCAAAACTTATATAATTAGAACGTTGAAAATTGTGCTCTCATAATGTGCTTAATGTTAAATATATTAATTAACCTTTTAAACTTACGATCAATGGTTTCTTGTCATGAATTAGAGTGCTAATCTAATCTTAACTTATCGAATTTGTTTTAATTTATTTTGATTATAAACTGAACTGGAATTTTTGTTATTAACCTTTATCTAAATCTATCATAATAAGCGAAAATAAGATAAATAGAACCGTTTTCAACTATGTGCCTTGGAGCCTTGGGGTTGGGACTTGGGAGATGATACCACCACCTCATCATTCCTTGATTCCCTCCCATGCATGTTCATAAGCCAAATTATTATTTTGTAAGGAAGTGTTTGCTGGTAAGTGTGGGGTATGGTTGTTTTTTATTTAGTTTTTAAAGAAAATGGAGCATGATGTGAAGAAGTAAAGAATCAAATACAAAGTATCTTGTGAGTTGTGTTTAGTAATTGTGCTAAATACTTGAGTAGTGCTTGAACCATTTAAGACAAATTATTGCAATTAAACAAGTGTTTAGTAAATTAGTAATGCTTCCTTTTTTTTTATTGATGGTCAATGCGTTGCAAATATACAATTGTTGATTTGTTGCACCAATCATCTACAACTTGTGCATCATTTTGTTGGAATACATTTTCTTAAGTCATCAAAAATCAATCAAGGACAAGTGACATCTTAATTGGGGATGGAAGCATTGTCTTGTAAGTAACAAAAATAAAATAGAAAATATTTTTAATTGGAGCATAAAAAATAAGTGATCCTCTATTGTACTTTGCATAATCAACAACATTAGTAGGATTATCATGTAAAACTTGGACAACGATGGGTTAAACAACTTTATTATTTGCAGCAATTATTGTTTGATTTGTCTTATCAATTCTTGAAACCTTAGTTGAAGTACTTGGCTGTTAGCCTGAATTCTTCTAAACACTTTTTTTTTTAGGTGTTAACAGAGCCACAATAACGGATAATGAAAATCGATCCTAAAATTTCTAGGAAACGAAAGGGAAGCTCTAATCACAACTATCCCTCACTTTTATTCTCCTCGACTTATTTAGATTTAAATCATTCAATTTGGACAAATAAGTTTTATAAAGATGACTTTTAGACAAAGATTTCAAAAACATTTAGATATAGTATCAATTTTTTTTATAGAAGCATAATATAATTTAGATAAAACAAGCGCTTGTTCTCATAGACTGAATTCAGCTGAACTGAACTGAACTGAGTTGAACTGAACTGAATTGAAATGAAATAAATATTTTATAAGATAAGGAAATTAGAAGCTGAATTGAACTGAAAATAAACGTATGAGAACAGACCATAAATTCATATAATTTCAAATAAATTCATAAAGAAAATATTGAATAAGTTGAAAATGATAGCACACAGAAAATGAACATTAGGTGAGTTTGGTGACAATCCTCATTCCTCAAGTACAAAATAAAGTAAATGATTCGTCTTTCTTTAAAATAAAAAAAAATCAAGTAATTTGTCTTGATAATGATAGATCTTTCATGTAATAATGCAAGATGCAGATTACGTATAATTTAGGAGTAAAATAATGTTAATGTGTGGCAACTTGTACTGATTAATTAAGGGAGTCATGTAGTTGATTAGTCAATTATTTTATGTTTAATGGTGCACACACCACAAATGTTGAAAATGAAAAGGATGAAATCTTATCAGGATTCCAAATTTCCAATAGACAACTAATTTAAATGGGGAATCCTTGGTCATGCTCGTAAATGGCCCTTTAATGCATATCAGAGGTCCACTAAATAGGAATGACAATTCAATTCGAAATTGATTTGGGTCTGACCCTCAACCGAAGAAAAAAGTATAAAAATAATCCGTTCGACCGGGATTAAGGGGCTTACCACTTAAAGAAGTTAAGAATGGGGAAAGAGTAAAGTGTGATCTTCATCCTCAAATTGTTCTGATAGCCATAGGGATTGAATCCCTTAACTATGATGTCAGAAGATTCCTTTCTTACCGTTAAACAACATATTATTGGTATAAATGTAATATAAGCATGGACCGAATTACCTAACATAAGAGATTAAACCTCAGTCTTGTATCTATAAAATATATTAATGACTCGATCACTAATATGTATGATATCAAACACAATTATTAGGACGAAAAAGAAAAGCCTAACACATGAATCATAACGAAGTTCAATGTAACACGAAATGAGTGTAACATAACATTAAACAAGTCATTCCTCAACTGCACATTCAATAGGTACATGAACATTTTTGTAACGGCAAACATAGGGCGCATCACACCCTACATAAGGACCAGCCCACCTCGCATCGTCGATGTAACTAGCATTCCATACTGATGAATAGAGGAACATAGGCTTCTCAGGGAAGGCAGAGTCGCTCTGTCTCTCCACCCGTCGCACTAGTTTCCCGTCGATGAGCCACTCGATTACGTTTGGGAACCACTTGATCACGTACTCGTGAAACCCATCTGAACAGTCAAATCCTAACTCATGAATTTCCTCCTTGTTCCCAGTTCCTGCATTTAGTTCATTTATATCAAATTCACTAAAGTTTCTATTTCAACATTAAGCATGAAGTACTAGGGGCAATAAAGTCATTAAATCAAGTCATTTTTTTCTTTGCTATTTTAATGTGTATAATTTAAATCACGAGTAATTGTTGAGCCTATCAACAAACCCAATGTGAGTGAAAGTGTTGTCCCATATTAAAAGAGTGTATAAGTGTTGGCTAATATAGCTACGAAGTATTATGTAGTTAGGTTCATGGCCCTCCAATAGGTAACTTTAACTATATTCTTGTAGTTAGGTATTTCTTGTGGATATACATACCTTACTCATTTAGTATAGACATATACTCCGTAGTTAGTTGAGCGGCTTGAGCCAATGTCTCTATGGTATAGAGGCATCATAAATTCATAATATAATAACGGAATTATAAATTTTGAATTCGTTAATGTTCATATATACAAATTAATAGATACACGTATATAGAATATCTGTAACAGTCCGTAATTTCTCTTATAACGATCAACATGTATAATTGTAGATTTGTGGATGACTATTTTATTTCTTACGTGCTAAACTTGGAAGTTTGAGACATCCGACTATGTGTTACTATGTTAGGAATTAAAATTAAAATAAACTAGTCCGGTTAAACAATGAAATGAATTAGATAGTAAAAAAATTGGTCTCCTAGACAAAATTCTATATTTTTAATTTGTTTTTCGGACCCATTGAATTGACTGGATCTAAAAAAAACAGAGATAAAAAAGATTACCAGAGATGTGATAATTGGTCTGAACAATGGTTTTATCCTTGCCCAAAAATTCAAAGTCGATCTCATCTTGGTAATTATCACCTTCCAAAGAAGAAAGATAAATATTGAAATTAAGACCACTAGTATTCCCCTTAGGACATTGGATTTCAGCACTAAAGGTCCCATATTGGTAACGACCGGGAGATCGCCAGCGCGAGCCGCCTCGGTCGTCGAAGGTGATCGCGATCTCATTGGTATGCGAGCAATGGTCACAAACTTGTGGGGTGTAATCTATGACGATCCCCTTCATAGGTTGAGTCATATTGTGTTGGGCTATTTCTTGGTCAAGTGATGGGTCTGCCATTTTTGGATTTGGTTATGGTGCTAAGAATATAATCAGAGTTTGATTTTTTATTGGTTGAAGAAATGAATGGTTAATTTTGATGAAAGAATAAAGAGGTAACAAATTAACAATTAATAGTACAAGTACAATGTTGATTATAACGTGCATGAAAACATGATTATTGTACATTTGCACCCCTTTGGCACTCTTTGGCGGTGTTTGATAACACGGTATAGTATGTACTATGTGAGTCGCCATGTCGGTATTGCCGTATTGGTTTAACTATCAGTTGTTTCCTTTAGTATGTCGGTATTGGTTTAGCGGTTGCATTAGTGTATCAATTGTTAGTGTAAACTTGTTTGATAAAAAAGAATGATGTATGAATGTATTTATATTTAGGGCATGTTCATATTTATTGAACTGAACTAATTGGAGATGAAATGAATTAAACTAAATTGATTGGAGCTGAACTGAACTGAATAGAGCTGATGAAATGAATGTTTTATGAAAGAAGCTAAGGAAATTAGGAGCTGAACTGAAATGATTGGAGCTGAACTTAACCGAATCGAACTGAAATTAAGTTGAAATGAACATACCGTTATTAAGTAAATGTGTTTGAAAATAGGAATGTTGGAATTGATTTAATTGATTTGACTATCAATTGTTAGTGTAAAATCACTCGATTATAATTAGTGTATACTCCATTGTCTAAAATTAACAAGGCAAAAGCTGAGAGCATTCCCAGGGCGTTAGATAAGAGAATTAAAAGTGCAAATATTAAAGTAAAATTAATATTAATTACATCGATCGACGTGTAATTTTGTCACGCACAAAATTCTATTTTAAGTAATATATCAACTAATTAGCTAATGCCCCGGGACGATTGTTAACAATATCCAATAAACAATAAAGACATTTGAGCAAATAATATGGAGTACAAAATACTTTGTAATTGTTTTACAATTACCCTTCCAAACAATCCTACAACCAATTGTTTTACAATTACCCTTCCAAAGTCTTAGTCCAATTACCAATAAAGATGAAAAATCATTATCATGGATTATGCTTAATAGAGAGCGTGTTTGGCAATAGCTTTTAGGTAGTTTTTAATGGATTGACCAACTAGTTAATAAAAAATATGAGTGTTTGGTAATATAGTGATTGAGATAGCTTTTATCAAAAGTTAAAAATATTACCCTTTGAAATTAGAGGTAGTTGTTGAAAATTTAATCTATAGTTTTAAGGAAAAATATTATATGTAATAGCTAGTCAATCGCTACTTTACTGAACACTAATACCCAAGTTATCTATCTTCATATATAGCTAACAGCTAACAACTATTATCACAACTAACAAGTAACAACTACCTTCACAACTATACTTTGCCGAACACGCTCGTAATCAAACCTATTATACTCCCTTGGTTTAATCCAAATCTTACTTCATTATTTTACGTATCGATTTTTATCGCTAAATATTACTCTGTATTAACAAAACTATGTTATAAAAATGACAATGTGATTAATCTAATGATATCTTATAAAATAACATTTATTTTTATAATAACAGAAAAAATTAAGTCAAATAAAACATGTGAATAATGTAAAAGTTAAAATAATGCTTTTACAAAAAAACCAATAGAGAATTATTTTAAGCCTTTTTTTTTAAACGTAAGTCAATCTATATCTATACTTAGTATTTAAAAACAAAAACCATCATCCCTATAATGCCACATGTACATTTCATTTTTTTTTCTCCAATGCCACATGTTACTTCATTTAATCTTTCTTTTTTTAATCCCTTTTCTCATATGAAAAAAAAACTTTAATTCAATACATGTATAAATTATTGAATGTTGTTTGGTTCACTTTCCTCTAGTTTAATTTCTACTACAGTTGCATTCAATTTTTACCTATTCTTCTCCTCTTTAAACTATTCATTTGCCAATATAAATATATTAAAAAAAATAATTATTTATATAGTATACCTATAAATAAACGTGCATTGCACGGGCCAGATGCTAGTTTTATTGAAAACAAAAGACCGGTCACATTTTGGAAGTGTAAAATGGATGAAATAAGAACTAAGGACATGTTCTTTTCAGCTAAATTTCAGTTCAATTCAGCTCATAATTTCTCTTTTATAAAATACTAGGGCAGCCAACGCGCGCGTTGCGCGCAGAATGGCTAGCCTTTGCAACTTAATTTTACTTGTCTTGTGTTTGCACTTCACATGGAGGAATAAAAGACCGGCAAAGGAATATACTACCTCTGGTTCAATTTACTCGCAACAAAAGATTATTTTATGTCTCACAAATAATATTCCTTTTTGCGAGTACATTGAACCGGAGGTAGTATTTATATTGTTTAGGCATTGTTTGTTTGTAGTCGTGCTGAGTTGAATGTTATGTGTGAAATATCTCGTATATTGAAAAAAAATCTTTATTTTACTATTTGTATATGGTGATTCTGTTAATTGAAATACTATGTAGAGTCACTGTAGAATATAATTCTTAGGTTTTTCAATGATAATGCAGAAAAGGAACAAATGTTAGAATTGTTTTTTGGTTATTTTCGCAGTGTTGATATTAGCATTACTTAATTGTGGTAGTACAATACGAAATAGAGAAAGAATCATCAATGATGAAACCGAAACGACCAATTCCTAATCCACCACAAAGGCTAACAATATTAAACAACTGCTATATATTGGTATTGTCATTTTTTTTTTTTGCCACAATTTGATTTGGGAATTTCGGGAAGGTGGCCGGTGAGCAAAGATGTGGAATTTAGTACTTGGAATGACAATGATAGTGTGGAGAGAGAAAGTTAAAAGCTTTAAAGAGATGGAGCCATGGAGAGGAGGAGAGAAAGCTCAAATGTGTAAGGAAATGTAGATGGGTAAGAACAATTTGGGTACAAAGGTAAAATACATTTTGAAGGGTTAATAGGGGTACAAAGGTAAAATAACATTTTTGAAGGGTATAAAAGTCCGTGTACTATTTATAAGAGCAACTTTCTACTTTTTATAAGGTAGGGATTTCTGCAGTTTAGTTGAGTAAATCAAAACAGACAATAAGAGTGAATAAAAGTACGGAGTAGTCCCTAATATTTAAGAAATAGACAGAAGCCTTGAACCATCTTCCTCGCAGAAAAACCTAGCCGAGGCAGCGAGCAGAAACTGAGTTTGGTTGCTTGCTGCTCTGAGTTTGTCTGAAACTCCTTCTCATCACCTAAATCTAAGGTTTTTTCTCTCTCCTCTTTCTTCTATCCATGCTTTTAACTTTTTAATTCTACTATCGTTTTCTCTAATTAAACCATTCTTACTCACAAATCATATATCTGAATTTGTCGTGCATATTCTTTTCATTTTTCTGGGTTAAATTTGCTGTGTTTGAGTTTTTATTCTTGATAATTTTGGTTGATTTTCAGTATGTAATTGGATTTTTTAGGTTAGGGTTTTATGTCGGTTTCAAATTGTTGGTCAAAATTCAAAAAACCCTCTTAAACCCTAATTTTATTATCGCAGTAAATTAAGAATTTGTTGATCTGATGTATACGAGCTCACTATAAATTTATTAGTTTGGATGATTTCATTGCTCATTAATTTGATCTATTCTCTATTAGAGTACAATTTATGGTAGCTAAATGGTTGCTACCATTATAAATTGGTCGAATTTTATTACGCCGGAGTTTACAGCCGAGTTGAATGTGAGGAGGGGGATTGGGGTTTGGACCGATCACAATGTCGTGCTTATGCTTTTACTTTGGGATTTGATATACTATTGCTGTTTAATTATTGAAAGCTTGTTTTACAATGTAATAATCGATTAATCGATATGAAAGTTGAGCTATTAGAGCTTGTTGATGACTTGATGTGTTGGGGTTTAACAGTATGTTCTCCAAATTTGACGTTGGAGCGTTTTATCGGCTTAAGATGTTGATTTAACTGGCTGAATGATGTGCATTTTTAGTTCTGCGTATCTATTTGATGTTCTCTGCATATATCATGGATTCATGGTTTTACAGTTTTAATTGGTGAAATTTAAAACTTGTGAAGTCACTTTCTTAATTTTGTTCCCCTTCTTATTTCTAAGGGCAATTGATGTTCCTAACTCTTGTTTATTTCTCCTAGTGCTATTTGAAGGTTCCCTAATTTGAAGCTTTGCAAGATGAGGGCCATCTTTTGTGGAAACTTGGAATATGATGCGCGGCAATCTGAGGTTGAGCGGCTTTTTAAAAAATACGGAAGGGTGGAAAGGGTGGATATGAAGTCTGGTCAGTATTACGTTGGCTCTTCTTGTTGATGTTTTGAACGCTTATTTTTTATTGTTGCTATTCATGTTTTAGGACTTGAATTTGTTCTTTGTCTGTAAGCTTTAATTTTTTGTTGTTGTTGATTTTACTACCAACTTCTACTAATGCTGCTATTGTTATTCTTTATTTCTGATCCCTTGATCTCTCTCCCAAATGAAATGAGAGAAAATGATTATGGTTATCTTTTTTTTTTTTTTTTCAAAATCATAAATATGGTTCCTTTGTGTTGTATATATATATATATATTTTTTTTGTTTTTTTTTAATTTTTTTTTTTGTATTTGGAATTGGACTTTCTTTTTGTATTGACTGTTGAAGTGTATGTATAGGGTGTTCACATTTTGGCCTCTCTATATCTTGTCAATTTTTATGGCAGAGTTTGTATCCAGTAAATGCATTTACTGTGTTTTTTGGGTACGAATTGGTCGCTTGCCAAGGTATTCCATATGCTGACTAGGATTGGGAAGGTTATTGTCCAGAATAGGGTTGGTTTTGTTTTGTTTTAAAGTATGCTCTCCCCTCAAATTCAGTGGAAATGTCATTGATTCCTACTCTTTGTTGTACTCCCATTTCAATTTGGATGTCATCACTTGGTAAGGAATCAACAGGATTATCACTGGCACCTCTCCCTGTAATTGAGAAGATGATGAGAATTGACGCTTTTGATCCATCATGTTGAAAGGAAACATCATCACTATTCCGAGGCAGAGTAGTATGATTGATGACTCCATCATACTTATGAATATAACACCAAAGCTTCTGGAAGGGTCAACGCATTCTTGAAAAAATATTTTTTCTTGGATAGATGTGTATATTGTTTCCCTTTCAGACAATCATCTTTTCAAGCTATAGAACCCTGCACTCAATAATTTCTTTGGCGCAGGATTCTTTGGATTATCCATATGTTTCTTGGATGGATTGGATTATCTGCATTTTCTTTCTGCATTGTGCCCACGCACCATCCTCCTATGTTTTACTTGAAGAACCAATCTGATTCGCTTGGCATGAACATAATTTCTGAGACACTCATTGCCTTTTCATTTATCATGCCTCTTGTCCAGTCTTCAATTCCTGACATGTATCAACAATAAATCATGATGACTTCACATTCAGTAGCAGGTGTTGTTTTTACTTCCTAGTCTTTAATATGGCCACGTCAGGTTTAATGAATCATCAATTAGCTGGTGTAACAACTGTTTGTTTGAAAATTATATGTACAGAACTAATATTTTAAATTTGTAGGGTTTGCTTTTGTTTATATGGAAGATGAGAAAGACGCTGATGATGCCATTAGAAGACTTGACCGAGCCGAGTTTGGGAGGAAAGGGCGGCGTCTTCGGGTTGAGTGGACTAAGGTAACTACAGTCAGTTATTCCACATCGTTTTTCAGTTTGTACACCTTTACTATTTAGATCATCTGATATCTTTACTTTCTGTGCTTTTCCTGTCAACCATTGTACAATCTGAAGTTTGCTTCCTTTGTTTTTTTCTTGTCCAATCCAAAACCAAGTTGGACTTCATATTTTGAGCAGTCTGAATTAGGTTGTATAAAACTTAAGTTGATTTTGAATTGCAGCAAGAACGTGACAGTCGAAGGCCGGGTGGTGGCGGTGCAAGAAAACCTGCAGCTAATGACAAACCTTCTAAAACCCTGTTTGTCATTAACTTTGACCCTATCTATACTAAGTCCAAGGATTTGGAAAGGCACTTTGATCAGCATGGAAAAATTGCCAACATAAGGATAAGGAGGAATTTTGCATTCATTCAGTATGAAACCCTGGAGGATGCCACCAGAGCATTGGAAGCTACAAACATGAGGTTGGGAACAATTCAGTATTTTGATTCTTATGTTTCTTTCCCCTCTACACTGAAGTATTATTGGATTTCTTTTAAATTTTATATACATTCTTCTTCTAAAATGTGATGTAATTATAAATTTTAGATTTATGTTACGATGGATAAAGGCATCCTTCTTGTTTGTGCTTAATGCCTAAAATTTGGAACATTCATTTATACCTGTCGTGTACCATATGCTAGAAGTCTCACATTCACTGCTTTCTGCTACTGGGACTTACCTGATTTAAGTGCTTGTCAAATTGACTATTTAAGCAACTTATTTCACCTTTAGAATGGCTAATGAGAGGTTGAACTTGTATTATCGTGTTTAGAGTCGTATTGTCATGTCAAAGTCATAGATATGTGGTTTATCATGTGGTCATAATGAGTTTTTCTAATCTGAGCTTATTGTTAATAAGATCATTAACTAATTTTTTTATATGATTATTCAATAGTCTGCATTGGATTTGCTGCTTATATCATTCTGTAACTTTTCTGATGGTTGTCTATTTGATTGCTTGCAGCAAGCTTATGGACAGGGTTATAACTGTGGAGTATGCCATTCGAGATGATGATAGAAGTAATGGTCACAGTCCCGATAGAAGGGGCAGGGACTTGTCTCCTGATAGAGGAAGTTACCGTAGAAGATCTCCAAGTCCATATCGCAGGGAGAGGGGTAGTCCAGACTATGGATATCGCAGGGACAGAGGCAGCCCTGACTATGGCAATGGTGGCAGATCTGGAGCTAGAGGCAGTCCTGAATACAGCCGAGATGAGAGCCCTGCTAATGGGAGATACCACAGGTTTGTGTAAATCTGCAGTCTTACTGTTTTGATTTGATAATTTTTCTGTAACTAAAGACGTATTTTGTAACATATATTATTGATTCAGTCGCTCTAGACCTGATGCTCGGGGATCTCCTGTTGGAAGCCCTGCTAATGAAAGATACCACAGGTTTGTGTTAATCTCCAACCTGACTTTCTACATTTCTCTAAATTTTGGGACTTGCATTTTTTTAACCTATACTGTCGATGCAGCCGGTCTAGACCTGAAGCTAGGGGAACTCCTGAATATGCTAAAGATGAAAGCCCTGCTAATGAAAGATACCACAGGTTTGTTTTAATCTCCTACCTTTTTATCTCCGTTTCTCATTCTTCAACTCAATTGGAGACTTAAATTTAAGCTTTTTATTCTGTTGTAGCCGCTCTAGACCTGAAACTCAGGGAAGTCCTGATTATGTAAAAGACGAAGGCCCCGCCAATGGAGGAAGATATCACAGGTATGTGCCCGTTCCATCTTTATTACCTCCAGACCTCCAGTTCACCCAGCTGAAGAGATCTTGGCCTAAGGTCCTAGTTTTAAATCCCCAACCCCCTGTTGTTTATTCATATTTGTTGTGAAACAAAGTGACCTTCCATTTCTCTCTTCACCCCAATTGTGAACTCACTTCATTGCACCTTAACTATTAATGCAGTCGGTCACCTCCACCACGAGAGAGGTCACCTCCGCTAAGAGAAAGGTCACCTCCACCACGCGAAAGGTCGAGATCCTAAGCAAGGAGATGGTATTAAGTCAGTATTTTACCGGGCTGTTTCTTGAGAGAGGTTGAGATGGTAAGCGAGGAGATGGTCTTGTGTTGTTAATTTGGCAGTGCGGTTTCTAGAGAAGAGCTGTAATTTCTTATTTGTGAAAAGGCTTGTATCAACAATTTTAGGATTGAATTTGATTTGTGTTAGTGGCTTATTGTATTTGATATTGCTTCCAAAGAAGGTTCATTTTTGCCTTGTTGTTTCAAACCCTTCATATGATCCTGTTTCGCTGGTATATTTAGGCTACATACTCGAGCTTGAATTTAAATCAAAATCATTTGTAAGATTTTGGATTATGTTTATTTTTCAGTAGTTTACTGTATGTATGTAGTATGTACGGGTACTTTGTACTTAATAGTTGTAGAATTTTATCCTCAAATACGCGTAGAATACAATATTTATCATTTGTGGTCCTGTGTACAGCAAGCAATGCATAGCAGACAGGAAACAGCGTTACGATCTGGCTATGTAAGTGTTGCACGCGTTTTGGATAAATCAATGCTTACTGTTGTGTTCTCTTCTCAAGTTATCAGTTTTGTGAAAAAGGTAACCAAATTCAAAATCTTCAACCCCCCTCCTAAATGCCAATATTATAATGATTTTTTTTGTTTTTTAAATTTGAGTTAACCAATAGTATAAGTAATGAATAATGCAACTTGCATACTACCTCCATTACATATAAATATGTATAATTATGGAGTATTATTTGAGAGATAGAAAAAAATTAAAAGTTATACAGCGAAAGTAATAGTATTTTAATTTTGGAGATGTTTGTTTTGAAGCTAAGAATATAGCTAAAGTTGTATGACTTTCATTAATTTGAAAGTGTAGAACTGAACATCTAATAAATTTAGATAATACTCTTATTAGCAAAAGTCATCAATGAACATTATATGATCTTTATTCTGGTTAAGAAGTTCCTAAATTAGTTGGTACGGAGTACAACTTCGGGTTAAGGTCTACCATTTGATAGTAGCATAGTACGGAGACATCTCATCAACACAATAGTCTATACTCGTAAATGATCATAAATAATAAATAATACTCGTAATTGACACAAGATCACAAGGCTAATGATATGAGCTGCTTCAAAACATCGATTATCAAGGTAAAAGCTAATGAGCGCTCCCGGGCGTTAGATAAGAGAATTAAAAGTGGGAATATTAGAGTAAAATTAACATTAATTACACCGAACGACGCGTGATTTTATCATGTATTCTTAACTTAATACCATTTCAATCAATATAATTATTCCTTATCTAACGCCCCGGGGCGCTCGTTAGCAAGATCGTTATTACAATGGTTTGAAATTCAAAATGAACAAGAAAGAAGGGAGTAATTGTCTCATTATTGAATAAGATCTGAAAAACAGGTACCCTTTTCTTGAAACTGATTCATACCCTGTATAATTGGCTTAGGCTACATAATTAGAGCTCGATTAGATTTTAAATCACCACAGTTTTCAAAACTGGGTGTGCTCCTCGAAATAAAACAAAGGAGCCTCACGAAATTCAAATACTTTTCTAAATAATAATTTAATTATGCTCCGTAGTTAGGAAAGCTATTGTTGTCTTTTGCGTATGACATAAATAATAATGGGGTCATACAAATCCTATAAATAATGAATTGGGAAATATTGTTTCAAAGATAGGAAGATGAGAACGACATTAATTTATGTTATAAATTAGTGAAGCTTCTAGCCACGAATGGTGAAGGGCTAATTGTAATTTCATGGACCACAATTTTCACCATATCTTTTTCTTTCATTTTCATTATGCTACATTATTAATGTCTTTTTTTGTGTACATGTATTTTTTGTCCATTTTTTCAAATTTGAACGTAATTTATTATTGTACGATTTAGGACATAGGGTCGTGGAATCAGGAATGCAATGAATTCCAGGGCTTCCAATATGTTCCTACCATTATTAAAAATAAATTTCAAAATTGAAACCTTTTTTTTTTTAGGACATAGGATTAATGATGTATCTTGACAAAACATGTTTGACAATGTACAAATTTGACCATTAATGTCTAAGGAGAGATTGTTATATATACTCGGGTATCTTTCATTATATGGACAAAAAAAAAATATTCTTAAATGACCATACACTGGAGTGTTTATAATTATTTTCAATATTAAATATAAATTTGTAATCAATATGTTGATTAGAAGTAAAAAAATATTTTTGGGGTGGTAATTCCAAAATGTAAAATCATATCACTATCAAATAATTGAGTCACTTTTCCTCAAATCTTTAATTAACCTTTACCCTTTTCTTTGCAAATTATTTCCTACCTTTTACGGAGTAAGTTTTATTACATGTAAAGGAATAATTTTTTTTTAAAAAAATAAAAATAAATAATAAAATAAAATAAAAATTATTATGGCATAAAAAAAAAGAGAGAGAGAGATCACGCACAATTGCACAAAGCATTTCCAGTCCAACTTTAAGACTTTACCACACGTGGTTGAGAAAGAGAGCATGAGTGGCACTCATTAGCCGTCCCCACTTAACACCTGTACTCTAACCTCCATGTCATCTTTGGATTTACCTCAAAATTTGTGAAATTTAATTAGGATTAAATTCAAATATTTTGATCAACTATTCCCAACGGTCAAATACAGAAATACTTGCTTTTTCCTGAAACAATCTTGTCCATCTGATAAGCAATATGCCAAGATCAATTCAGTCAATCACAATATACCCTAAATATAATTTAAATTACTTATAATTTTTTTTTTTTTGCAGTTTGTATCTAATTGAAGTGATGATGCTAGGCGGTGAGGATCTGATTACCTCTCCCCTTACTTTCAATTTTTAAGTATTTTATGGTCGTTTTAGTTTTCAAGGGTTTTTTTTTTATCTATCTAAAAAAGTACTAGTACAACATTTCATATTAAATCTAAAATTGTTAATAGTTTGACAATACAAGTTAACAGATAAATCTAAACTTTAAAAAGACTAGTAATAAAAATTAAAAATTGTTACTCTTTCTGTTTTATACTTTGTATTGTTTTTCTCAATTTGACTGATTTTCTCACAATTTTTTTTTACCATAAGTGAGAAGAAAAACAAAGGGAGTAAACTTATATAAAGTGCTCTATAAATTAACTTATTACGGTAATTTTTATGTTTCTTTCAATAAAAAAATGAACTTATTTAATGGTCAAATGCAATGTCAAGTGCCATATAAAACATAATTGGAAAAAAAAAACTTATTCCATTAGTTATATTTTTTGTCACGTTTGACTTTTCAAATAAAATATGAGCAACACAAATTTTCAAAAAAAAAAAAAAAAAAAAAAAAAAACTAACAGCAAAGTTTAAATATTTTATTTAATTTTAACATAAAGTTTTGATTTTTGAAATGCAGGTTCATAAGAATTAATAATGTTACTATTATTGTCTCCTCACATAAACACATAACTCTATCTCTCCTTTTTATGTAGCTTGTCCACTTGCTACTAACTAAAACTAGTAATTCAAATACATGGGTTCCTGTCTCTACTACTATTAACTTCACTCTCTCTTCTTCTACTTCAAAAGATTCTTCCTTTTTAAATTTTGCTGACCGTTTTATGTCATCATTTCTTCTCTTTCAAACTCAAAATTAAAATTCTGGGTGTATCTGAATTTCTCAGGAATTAATCTGGGTTGCTCTCAAAAAGATCAAATCTTTAATATTTATGGTTAATTTTATTAGAGAGAGAAAGAGAAGGTGAAGTTTGAAGATCAAGCTATAGTGGTGGTTACTTTTGTATTGAGATAAAGTTACAAGCTTCTTGTATTTTTTGATTCTTAAAGGTTAGTTCTTCATGCTAGATTCTTTTGCTTCACTAAAAATTAATACTTTAAAGATTTTCTCTTTTGCTTTAATCCCCAATTTTCTGTATTTTGTGTTGTCTAATTGTACTTGTATATGCTTGTCACCTTTGATCATTTACTGGGCAGGGTAATGATGTAGATGGGGTTTGATCTCGTGTCGAGACTTTACCGACTAAAGTAGCAAAATTCGATATGTTATCTTTGATCATACAAGACGCTTTCTATAAATTAGGCAAGGAAAATTGACGATGTATATGTAATTTTGGCTTCGTTGCTTTGATTTTTCCTAAGAATTTTAGTGGGTTAGGTTGAAAAAAATTCAAATCCACTCCATATATTAGTAGAAAGAGACTAATTTCGTCTCTTTAAAGCTAAGACAAAACCCCACAAAATACGTTATACCAAGGATTAATCTTGACAAAAAGATAGCTGGAATCTCCTTTGTACTTGTCTTTATGAAAATTATTAGCCTTAGAATTAGATTTAATACCACTTGGCTTAGTTCAATTGAAGTTAATAGCTTGATAATCTCATCAAAATACTTTCTTTTTACCTCATACTCCCTTATAATCATTCATAGATTACACACTTTCAAATCGAAAAGGGTATTTTAGTAAATTAGTCGCGCCGACGATTTATTTCACTCTAACGGCCTTTGATTAGTCTAAAAGGTATCAGTATCAAAATCATAATCAATATCCATCAAAGTGACTATGATGTCTAAACCTCTACAATTTTTTGTAGAAAAATAAAAAGATTTAATCTTTCATAGGAAATGGATGATAAATTCACAATTTTTACTACTTATATAATAGTTGTAGTACACATGGTGGGGCTTTGTTAGAAGTACTTTGATTTTCCTGTTGGTGGGCGGTTGTTGTTTTATGTAAAACGGGCTTTCTGTGACACTTCTTTGTTGTAACTACTCCATTTTATATTTGTAGTATGTCATAAAGTTACAAGCTTTAATTACTTTTGTTATTTGGGTGTTTCTCTTTGAGATTGATACCTTGCTAAGTTCAATCTGTATGTACTGTAAGTCTGTTTCAGTGTCGGTTGATCTTTTCGTGTTACTGAGTCGAAAATTTTGCTGTAATTGGACTGCAGTTTCTGCTGATCAATTGATTAATCAAAGTTGGAGTTAGTAAAAAGCGGTGCTATGGTGGAAGAGAAAGGTCAGGGTAGTTTGGTGGATGATCAGACAGCTGAGCAATGGCTATTACATGCCCAGGAGTTGGTTCCTGTGGCACTTAATAAAGCAAGACAGGTTAAGGGATTTCCGGGGAGATGGAAGATGATCGTATCGAAATTGGAACAAATCCCTTCTCGTTTATCGGATTTGTCTAGTCATCCTTGCTTCTTGAAGAACACACTGTGTAAGGAGCAGTTGCAGGCTGTTTCGAAGACGATGAATGAGGCAATTGAGTTAGCTGATATGTGTATTGAAGAGAAGTATGAAGGGAAGCTACGTATGCAGAGTGATCTTGATTCATTGTCAGGGAAATTGGACTTGAATCTTCGAGATTGTGGTCTGTTGATCAAGACCGGGGTACTTGGTGAAGCTACGATGCCTTCAGTTTCGTCGAGTTCCTCATCATCTGAATCTGATCAGAAAGCTCATGTCAATATAAGGGAGTTGCTTGCTCGCCTTCAAATCGGGCACTTGGAGGCAAAACATAAGGCTCTTGACACTCTTGTTGAGATAATGAAGGAGGATGAAAAGAATGTATTATCTGTTCTTGGAAGAAGCAATATTGCTGCCTTGGTGCAGCTTCTCACAGCAACTTCTCCTAGAATTCGGGAGAAAACTGTAACTGTTATATGCTCATTAGCAGAATCAGGATCCTGTGAGAATTGGTTGGTTTCGGAAGGAGTTCTTCCGCCTCTTATAAGGTTAGTAGAGTCAGGCAGTTTAGTAGGAAAAGAGAAGGCCACAATTTCTCTCCAAAGGCTATCAATGTCATCTGAAACAGCTCGAGCCATTGTTGGGCATGGAGGGGTTAGACCCTTGATTGAAATGTGCAGAGCAGGAGATTCTGTGTCACAAGCCGCGTCTGCCTGCACGTTGAAGAACATATCAGCTGTTCCTGAAGTAAGGCAAACCCTTGCCGAGGAAGGGATTGTTAAAGTCATGATCAATCTTCTTGATTCTGGGCTTTTATTAGGATCCAAAGAATATGCAGCTGAATGCTTGCAGAATCTCACTGCAAGCAATGAAGCTCTCCGAAGGTCGGTTATTTCTGAAGGGGGGATTAGAAGCTTATTGACTTACCTAGATGGGCCTTTACCTCAGGAATCTGCTATGGGGGCATTGAGAAATTTAGTAGCATCTGTTTCGATTGAGTTACTTGAATCACTCGGATTTCTCCCAAGAGTAGTCCATGTTTTAAAATCTGGATCAGTGGGGGCTCAGCAGGCTGCTGCATCAGCTATTTGTAAGGTTTGCAACTCGACTGAGGTTAAAAAGATGGTGGCTGAAGCTGGGTGTATCCCATTACTTATTAAGATGCTCGAGGCCAAGACGAATGGTGCTAGGGAGGTTGCTTCACAGGCACTTTCGAGTTTGATGACACTTTCCCATAATTGTAGGGAAGTGAAGAAAGATGACAAGAGTGTTCCAAATTTGGTTCAATTACTAGATTCAAACCCCCAGAATTCGGCCAAGAAATATGCAGTGTTGTGTCTGCTTTGCCTCTCATCGAGTAAGAAATGCAAGAAACTCATGGTGTCATATGGTGCAATCGGGTATCTAAAAAAGCTGACAGAGATGGATGTTCCTGGTGCCAAGAAACTGCTCGAACGTTTGGAAAGAGGGAGACTGAAGAGCATGTTCAGCAGGAAATGAGGCCAGAGCTACGTAAGTTTGCATCGTATTACTCCGCTTTTTAGCATATGATGGCCTGGTTTCATAACCTATATGAAACAGCAGTTGTTAAATTAGCTAATTAAGCAAAAGTATTATATGTCTGACCATGTTTAACCATGTACTATATTGTATGCATTAGTATGTGTGCCTTCTTAGAATTATTTATAGTATGGTATTCAATCCTGGAAGAAAGTTTCCAGTCATAGCAATTTATCTTGAGCTATTCACTTGCATTGTTTGCCTACTTGAACTGTATCGACTGTTTCATTGTATATCTCGTCTTTAAGCAGGTAATTAGACGAAAGCTCAATCAGTTTATGTTGGTAAATTATAATCTGCTAATTTATTACCATTTGGTAATAAAATGTTTGACAGTGTAATTAGTATGTCTTTGTTGAAAGTTGGTCAAAGAAAACAATTCTAAACCCTGTGTAAGATTCTGAGGTTTAATCATTATTCTGGTGCTTTATACTCACTTGCTGTTGGGGTTCACTAAACCAGTCAGAATATTATTATTAGTCTGAATTTGAAGGATTTTCCAAGTTTATAATCATTAAAATGCATTACATCAGCCTCCACTGCAGGTTAGAACTTCTTGATCTTTCATTAATATTTTTTTTGTCAAGTGTAATTGAAGTTAATCTCCCTTAATTTCTGTTTTCTCCATGGGTTGACGTCGAGCAATGCTCGTATGAGATTCTGGTTCCTGCTTCCGAACATGAAACTCTGAGAGTGGACTCTTGGTTATAGGTTTGGTTCGTTAGGACATAAGGCGTATGTTGATTAGTTTCCAAACCTCGGGGGAAGATGGGAACATTATGTTTCTCATGAGATGTACTCGTACGAGTCATGATAAACCTTCTTCTCAAGCATGCAACCTGTGTGAACCGGTTGTGAACAGAAGACTGAAGACCATTCCAAATCAGTGTGTACTGCAGGATTTTGATCAGTTTTGTTTGCGCAACTATGCAAGTACCAAGAACATATACCGCTATTTCCTAGCAGCTACCAATTTTGTCAGCTAGGGCCAAGGAGTAGTAGTTTAGTACTAATAATTTTGTACTCGTACCGTTGTATGAAGTATGGAGTATTAACAAGGGACAAAAGGAAAGACGAAGTATGGAGTACTAATAATGGATGGAAAAAGAAGGGTTTATTGGACCGTCGGCCCCCAAATTCTGTGACATATAGTATGTGTTACATCCCAGAAGTATGGCCAAGGCTACTATTACTCTTTGAGAAGTAATCCCTTTAAATTAATTCATGCAGCTAATCAGGGTTAGAGGTGTCAAAAGTTGACCCGACTCGAAATACCGATTCAAACCCGATTATTAACCGAACCATCTGAACCCAAAAAAATGGTGACCCAAACCCGACCTGAAACCAATCATAGATCCGAGTTGACCCGAGTATGTGAGACCCGAACATGAACTGACCCGGAAATGACCCGACCCAAATGTAACCTGTAAGTTATTGACCTGAACCGAACCCGACTGCAACCGAATTGACCCAAACCCATTTTAACCCGTCAAAACCCGAATTTAACCCGACTTGTTACTAACCTGACCTAAATTCAACTCGACTTGTTCCTAACCCGACCCGAATTTAACCCAACCTGTTACAAACCCGACCCGAAATCAACCCGACTTGTTATTAACCTGACGCAAATTCAATCCGACTTGTTATTGACTCAACCCGACCCGAAATCAACTCGATCTGTTACTTACCCGACTCGAAATCAACACGACTTATTATAGACCTGACCTAAATTCAACCCAAATTGTTCCTGCCCCGATTTCAAATCACCTTAAATGCAATTTAGACCACCTAATTATTGTTGATCAAAGCATTTTGTCTAGGGAGACTAAGTCGGTCCAGACCAGCAAAAGAAAGGAGCAACATCCTCAAATTTAAGAGTTAAATATAGTATATATTTGTTGTATGGTCAAAGGAGATAATTATCTTCCTAAATTATAGACGCTCCCTAGTATATTGTCATATATATTATAGTCAAAGGAAATAATTAGCTTGATAAAAATGATAATTATCTATTTATACTAAATTGAACCCAAATTTGACCTGACTTGGAAATGACCCGACCTGATTGTAACCTGCAAATTATTGACTTGAACATAACCCGAATTGAATCCGAGAATGACCCGACTTGGAAATGACCCAACCTGATTATAACCCGCAAATTATTGACTTGAACCGAACCCGACTTGAACCCCGAGAACGACATGACTTGAAAATGACCTGACGTGATTATAACCTGCAATTATTTAATTGAACCGAACCCGACTCAAACCCGAGAATGACCCAACCTGATTCTAACCCGCAAATTATTGACTTGAACCGAACCCGAATCGAACCAGAGAATTACCCTAACCCGTTTTAGCCCGTGAAATCCCGAATTAAACCCGACCTATTATTCAAACAACCCGAATGTAACCCGACCAAAACCCAATAAGAAGTATGACCCGATGTATCCGACTCAAGCATGACCCAACCCAAACCCGACCCGCATAGGTTATGGAATTAATCCGAATTGATCCAACCCATTCGTACTGACCTAAACCCGACCCGGTTACCCGAATTGACAACTCTACCCGAAACCTCCAAAATTTCTCAAAAAGCGTGGATATTAGCCTTCAATTTTGGAAATTTTAGATTTTTTTCGCCCAGATATAAAAATTGCTTAAATGTTTACCATATTCCCTAATACCCTCTGGGAGTCCAATTGGCTGGGTGGAACCATCCAATTTGTCTTTTAACTACCAATTTACAACTTGCACCGATTTCATTAACTCAAGGGATTTGTTAAACATCGCCCACAAATTACTACATAAAGCCCACAAAATTCACTTGGTTTGACAAAATTGCCCTTGACCTTAAAAAAAACACTCACACTCTCATTGCTCATCTTCTTTCAACCTCTCTAAAAAAAAAAAAATTTCAAACAACGGCAATGTCGAGGCGGCAAGGCAAGGAATTGGCGGCGGCGGCGGAGGGAAGGATGTCCCAAGGAGGAAAGGTACAATTTGTAAAAAAAAAAAAAAAAAAAAAGGGGAAAAACCGCCGTGACGGCTGTGGGGCGCCCTGGCTGGACGCCCAGCCAACGGTGGTGGCGCCAGCTGCAGACGCCGCCACCAGTAGGCAGGCGCCTGGGTTGGACGCCACAGCCACGGTTGTGGCGTTTATTCAAGGCGTCGCAGCCGTGGCTGTGGCGTCCAGCCCAGGCGCCAGCCCACTGGTGGCGGCGTCTGCAGCTGGCGCCACCACTGCTGGCTAGGCGTCCAGCCAGGGCGCCCCACCGCCGTCACGGCGGTTTTTCCCTTTTTTTTTTTTTATATTTGTTTTAAAATATTGTTTTTAATTTTTTTTTTTTTGTGTAATATATTTTTGAATTGTTTTTATATTTTGTTGTTTATTTTTATAAATTTTTTCAATTTCGTTGTATTTTTTCTATGTTTATATTTTGTTTACAATTATTTGTATGTTTTTAGTTTATTTGATTTGGGAGTGGTAGCTATTTTTCGTATAAATTTTTGTATGTTTATATATTTTAAAATTTTGTGTAGAATTCACTGGGTCGTCATGGTGCGGGGAAGAATATAGAGCTTCTTAGTAGAAGCTATTCAGTGGAGAGGTCGGGGCATAGACATGTCAGATCCCGTGGTATTTCGGCCTCAGCTCGTAGAGAACGGATCCACCGTCGGGATGAGGATGACGATGACGATGATGATGCTGAGGAGGGTGACCAGGAGGAGGAGCAGGAGGAGGGCGCAGATGAGGATGAGGATGTGGACGATGGCAGTGGACCGTATGATGATTACGGTCCATTCAGTAAGAGGGTTGATGACATGTACGAGACACATATGGTGGAGGTGCGTAAGGGTAGGGGTGGTAGGTTTGTTAGTAGATCTGGCACATCATCTGCGTCCACTGTATCTGCGTCCACATATCGTGCAATGGCCGGATATCATGACCGGGACGTGGGACCAGTTTCCGATGGTGGCCCGCTTATGGACTGCGGAGTTGCAGCGGCCGCCCTCTGGGGTTACTCCCATGTGTGACCATTACTACATGGAATGGTTCAACCGGTATTCGCACCCGAGGTTGATCGCAGATCTCGACCACAGCGATGATGATTATGTGCCACCGCCTACTGCCACGGAAGCGGTATGTCTTTTATTATATTTATCGTTGTCTTTTAATTAAGTTTTATATGTTGTTATTGTATTTCATCTTCTGTTTTTTGTTGTATGCAGTGGATGGGAAAGATAATGCAGGACGTACAGAAACTCTCTCTTGAGAAGGACAACATGAGTGCAACAGGGAGAGCTGTTGTTGATAGTCTGGAACAAACCCTTGCGCAGTGGGAGTCGTCGTCGAGGAGGGATTACTGATGGTTTTGTCATTTTATTTATAGAGCATTATGTTGGACATTATGTTGTAAGATTGTAACATTTTAGATTGTTCTTTTAGCTTCCAACTTAAACATATTATCAGTGCTGTTTTTAAATTTTGATATAACCGTTCGTGGATTCGCGCAACTTACCCATGCAACATATAGAATGCAGTAAGCAATACAATATAAAATATTAATGTTCTCATTAAAAGAGCAACGTACAAATAAGATTACAAATAAAGAATGTAAACATGAAAAACTAAAATGCAGCTAGGGTGTTCCATTCGTCCTTGGTAGCTCTATGAGCGCTCTCAACTCTACATGTTGTAGTGTTCCCAAAATGAAGTACCTGGTTTGTCCAATATTTGACAAACTTTTCCCTGTGAGGGACCCATTGATGCATCACATAGTCCACCAGTGCCGGACACCACTGGTACGAATCCCTGAAGTTAGCCAATGCTCGCTCATACGCTTCCTCTGTGGTAGCCTGTAGGATCTTCCGCCACTTACCATTCACCAATCTCTCTGCCATTTCCAAATTCTTCTTGAAAAGGTTGTAGGCTTTCACTTTCACGCAGTTGTTGATGTGCCATGTGCACAATAAGTGGTTCGATTCGGGAAACAGCTCTGCTATGGGGGCAAAGAGACCTCCCTCACAGTCGCTGACGATGGCTGCTGGATGAACATTAGGCCCGATGTAGTTTCTCAGCTTCTCCAACACCCAATAATAACTTGGAGCCGTCTCATCCTTGATGATTGCATGACCAATCAGAAAGTTCTGGTTCGTTGGAGCCATCCCAACCATCTCAACCAGTGGGAACTTGTACTTGTTTGTCTTGTACGTTGAGTCGATCAAAATCACAAATGGCCAACACTTGATCATATCAGCACAATCAGGATGCACGAGGAAAAGATGAGTCACCTCCGCTGTATCTTCATCAGAATCAAACCAGAACAGGTAACCACGTGATTGTGCCTGGTGTAGCAGCTGCTGTATAGGGTTCCTTCCCTCTGACCGTTCAAACCTGAGTTGTTGTCTGACGTTGTAGATGTGTCTTCGGTTT